CGTCAGCCAGCCTGCCGGCCGCTGCCCCGCTCCCGCCGCTGCGTGTGGAGGACGAGGACGAGGAGGCTGTTGACGAGGTGGTGGTGGTGGTGGAGGAGGTGCCGTGGATTGCCCTGCTGATCCAGTGCTCCATGCTTATGCTCCCTTCCTGGCTGGACGAGGTTCCTCCGCCGCCGCCTCCGTCTTCTTCTTCACCTTCTCCTCCCTCTTCTTCATCACCGTCACCCTGACCTTCGCCCTCTGAGCCTGAGGAGGTATCTAAGGAAGAGAGAAGATGAGGATGGACATTAAAGTTTTATCCAAACTGTGGGAAAAAAAATGGATCTTTCCAATCTCGTTTAAACACCGGCGCAACCAGAGGTGTCGATGTGTAAGCCCTACTCCCCCCCTCTGCGTAAAGTTGCTGCAGGGGAGGAACACAAACTTGTTTGTGCGTGTGAAAGCTAAGACGTGTGTGCGTACACGGGTGTGTGCTTCTGCAAGTTTTGCATGGCATTTCCATAATGCCCACGGCGTTATGAGGCTAGTAGTGGTGATATGAATAACAACAGAAGCTGACCTAGTTCTCACACACACACACTCACTCAAAGGTACTCGATTAGTGTGCACGTGTGTGTTTTCTTTCAGGGCAGATGCAGAGAGAAGGTAATTGTGCGACTGACGAGGAAAGTCCAACAATAAAAAAAAAAACAAAAATATTTTAAATTCAAATATTTCAACCCAAGAGTGTCACTATGAGACGTTTGATCTTTTTAAGTATAAATGGTTCCTTACCCGATAAAGGGTTAAACTGGTTTGCTGCGCTCCAGTGTGACTGACTTTAGTACACACACATATGGAATGAAAACATGGATGTACAGCTGGGACTCTGTACCTGTGCAACAGGTGAAACCATCTGAAAAACCTGCACTAAGTTTAAGTCAAAACCTTTACTTTGTCATTTAGCTGCGTTCATCCTCACATTTATGAAGTTGATGCTTTGGTTTGTTTTTCTTGTTTTAATAACCACATGGAATCAGCTGCTGAAGTTGGTCAAAGTGAAACCAAAACACCTGGTAAATTAGAGCAACAAACAACAACGAGGACTAATGTTTGTTTCCAGTATTCATTCTGCTTTTAGCTCTGGGCGACCGGTGAAGA